AGAGCTAGGGTGGATTCCTGAGGCGGGGTCAGGGTGGGGGTCAGGGTAGGGGTAGGGGTGGGGTGGGACAGCCTCCCACCCACAGCTCTGCCCACCTGGCTCTGGGCCTGGCCTGACTCGGCCCCCTGCTGTCTCCTGACCTGCCCGAGAAGCCAGGCCTTAGCAGTAACATGGCACTGCCCAGACTGGAAAACATCACTAACTGTTAGGGCAGTGCCCGCCCACCCCTCACCTCCATTTTAAAATAACTTTTGTGCAGGAAAAAAAATAAGTTAAAAATAGCAACATATGGAAATGGAACATGCCAGTTTCAGATGAAGAGCTGGTTCTGAACTGTTCCAGGGTGGGGAGGGTTGTGGTGGAGGAGGGGTGGGCCTGGCACTTGGAGGTGAGGGGAAAATATGTGATTTATGCTCAGGGACCTGGAAGGAATGATTATATTACATTATAAAATACTATATTAGCAAATTTATAAAATATTATATAAATCACAGAATATAAGTTATAAAAATAAAAAAATGAAATTTAAAATATATATTATATTATAAAAATGGAAAATAAAGGAACATTCATTGCCCTAAGAAAGGAAAAGGGAACATTTATGAAGTTCGACTTCCTTACATTCCTTGTACACCATTGGACTCAACCCCTCCTATGAATGTGCGCAGGGATATTTATTTCTACCATGTTACAAGCAACGTCAGCTGCAGAGGTAACAAGGGCCCCCAGCTGCAGCTTTACTGGTCCTGCCGCCCCCACACTGCTTGCAAAGGCGGGCACCCCTCCAAGCGACTCCAGGAAGTCAATGGTCTGATCGTATTACCACCCCTACTATGTGCAGGAGAAGCTGGGGCCAGTGGGTGGGTTTCCCAAGCCCTAGGAATCTAGCAAGTGATGGAAGCTTGATTTGCACTGAAGACCCACCCCAGTCTCCTCCCAGCCCCAGGTTCCCACCCTCCTGGATCTCCCCTTCAAGGCTTCTTGCACCTCTCCTGACCCCTAACGGAGGGCTTCGTCCAGGTGGGCGCTTCGGCATTTGTTAAACGAATGACTAAAGCACCAGTGGGCTGGCAGGAGCTGTTATTAACTGCGGGGGCCTGGCGCCTTTCCCTACCTCACGTTGCTGCTGAGAACGTGTCCCCTAATACCACGTGGTGTCTTAGCCTGGGTTCCCCCGAACCAAAGCCAGAGACCGGGCTTGGGAAGCAGGGCAGGGAACGGAACAGGGAAGCTGGGACAGCCCACAGGGACACCGGATCCAGCTGGCTGCTGTTTGGGAGCCTGGGGCCTCCACCCTGGTGGTATGGTCAGTGCAGCCTTCCAAAGGGTGTATCAGAATTGCCAGCCTGGGGACAAAGGGGGAGAGGTACCGATGGGCTCCAGTCAAGTGCGGTCCCGGGGGCTTTAACTTCCCTCTCCCCATCCCCCAATCCCTCTTCCCCTGACCCCCCCCCATCTTTCTTTCCTCTACCCCCCTTCCCCTTCCTTCCCTGCAGGTTTGACCAGTGCAGGAGACTTCAGGCAGGCTGGGCCTGGTCTAGCCTGCATGTGTAGGGAGCCTCTTTCTTTCAGTGAAGCAACAGATACTCCTCAAGACCCTACTGTGTGCATGGCATGCAGGGGAGGGGTAGAGGGGGTGCCTAAGTAAAGAGGACAAGCAAGGCCCTGCCCTCCTGGAGCTTACTCTTTGGGAAAATGGACAAAGGATGAGGGAGCAAATCAGGGAAGGAGGGAGCTCAGATGGGGCGACTGCAGCCGAGATGGGGTGGGGTTGCCCATATTGGAAAGGCCTGTCTGAGGGGTCCTTGAGTTGAGAACTAAGTGACTAGAGGGGCCGGTCCAGGCACAGAGGGTTGGGGGATGGGCAGCAAGTGCAAAGGCCCTGAGGTGGGAAAGGCCCTGAGGTCCTTGGTGTATCTCAATGCCCCCAGTGGGGCATAAGTGGGTCCAGAGGCAGCTAGGAGATTCTGGCAGGTGTCTGGTGGGGAGAAGCAGTGGCGTGGGTGAAGGCGTGACGATCGCCCGGGTTCAGGATGTCTTGGTCTCGGTGGTGATCCAGAGGAAGTGTTAGCACAAAGGTCAGCCTCTGGGGCTCCAAGCCTCTGCCCCTCCCCCACCGGCCCTGGGACATAAGTGGAGCCAAGGCAGGCATGGTACCCAGTGCCGGTGGGAGAAGGGGGTGTCCTGAGTCCCACCATATCTAGCTCACTGTCTCCAGAAACTGCACATTTTAGACTAAATTTAGAAAATAAATAAAAATCACTTTGTGACTGTAAGCATCAATTATAAAAATGCCAGTGGCATCCCCTCCCACCCCCCTCACAGCTGATTCCCACCTCAGGCTCAAGCCCAGCTGCTTGAAAAGCACAGCCCCCAGGATGCTGCTCTGACTCCCTTTTCCTCGCTATTGGCTCCCTGTGCCCAAGCCCCGCAGTCTGGCATCATGGGGGAAGGCCCGGGCCACGGGGCAGGGGCTGACCATCATCCAAGGTCCCGGATTAGAGCCCTATCATTGACACCAGCCCGTGCCTACATCGCCACCTCTCCCTCTACCGGGAGGACGTTCTTGTTTGTTCCCCGGTGCTGGATGCCGCCCTCCTGGACAAGGGCTTCAGAACCGCTGCCCGGAAGGACATTCTACAGTCCTCTCATCACACAACCCACCAGGCACCGGGCTGGGGACGGGGGACACAGAGATGAAGCCCTGGTCCTCAGGGAGCCAGGGGCAAGCAGGTCAGCCATAGACTGGAAGCAGCCCAAGACGCCAAATTAGCAACAGGAAGGAAGGCTGCCCTTTCCTTCGGGGAGGATGTACTGCCTCTCTACTCTTTCTTATGGAGATGGAGGTAAGCCCCTTCCCCAGTTCTGCATCACAAAACCTCCCCATCACAGGAACTCTTCCTAGTGGGGGGAAACCCCGATGGCGGCCGGGAGAGGTGGGGGAAGGGGGTTCATACCGTTTCCGCCTCCCCCGGGGGTGAGTTCAGACCCCCTCCCTGAGGCCAGGTGGCGGCAGTCTCCGCAGAACCTGGCTGGAGTAGGGGGGCTAAATGAAGAGACTGGGGCTGGGGAAAGTGACCTGCCAAGCAGGGGTTAAGTGACCAGGGCCTAGGGGACTCCAAGCCCATGATCTACCCACCCAGTACTGTGCACTCAATCCAGCCGCCTCTGTTCCTTTCTGCCTCCACTAGCCGGCCCCGCGGAGCCACAAAATCTATGCTGGGCACATGAGAAATTCCTTAATTCGAGGTGGACCCCATGGATCTCTTTCTGATGCTCTTTTCTTCTTTGCATGGTTTCCCCGCATGTGGGCCCACCTCCAGCAGGTGTGTGAGACCTCAGGGCTCACCCTCTTCTTAAACCAAATTCTTCAGGATTTTTTAAAAAACAATATACTATTTTTATAAATGGCCTCCTTCCTGGATGCCAGGTATAAACAACCAGACAAGAAGTCCTGCCAGGGCCAGGATGGAGGTTTAATCTGTTCACTGTTACTCAGCACCACTCCCCAGCACAACTCCAGGAGGCAGCCATTCACATGGTAGTAGAAGTTCCTGGAACCTTCTCGGGGCAGCCATTTAATAATACAGTTTTAATAAATGGCACCCCAGTGGCTGACATTCACACTGTGGTTTAAGTGCCTTCCCACCTCCTTCCCTGGGGCAGCCATTCTCATTGTAGTCTAAAATGATTGGCGCCCTCTGGAGGCCCCACTCCACACTGCAGCTTCTGTGAATCCCTCCCCAGCTGGAGTTAACATGGTGGCCTCCATGTTTCCACATTTAAGCCTCAAAGCAACCTTAAGGAAGGTCTTATCTTTCAGCATCTTACAGAAGAAAACTACCTCAAACTCCCAGCCTGAGGTCAGAGCTGAGATTTTACGCTTCATCTATTTGTTGTCCAGTGCTTTTCCCTTCAGCAGAACTGGCAGGGCTGGGGAGCAAAACCTCAACCATCCAGCCTCTCCGGGCCTCCTGCCTAACCCAGTCCCACAGCAACCCCCAAACTAGACCTTGTGAATCCCATTTTCCTGATGGGGAAACTGAGGCATGAAAATGCCGAGTCTCTTGCCAGAAGTCCTGCAGTCAGTGAGTGACCTGGGCCTGCCTGTCTCAGAGAGGGCCTGCTTCCCAGGGCTGCCCTGCCTTCCACCAGGATGGTCAGAATCCAGTCCAACTGCCAGGGCTCAAATGCGGGGGTGGCCACCGTCCATACTGAGGTGGGTGTTGTCCTTTACATGGTGTGCTTCGAGGACCCCCAAACCATCCCTGGGGTGTCAGTCTCTCACCTGACCCTCACTCCAAACAGATCTGCCCTGCCAGGCAGGCCCTCGTCAAGGGTCACACCCCATGCTGGCTTGTGTAACTGATCACAGGGTGGCCCAGTGTCCCTTGTGAACAGCTGTTAGTAGACACTCCTCAGAGACCTGCAGAGGACATTTAAAAACCCACCACTGGGGCCTGGCTGGCACAGCTGCTCAAAGAGGGAGCTGCTGGCCTGGCTGCCAAGCCTTTCAGGGCAGCGAGGTCTCCCTCCAGCCACTCTCAGACACACAGGAAGGCCCACTGCAGGCCCTTCGCCTCGGGCACAGGCTAGGACAGCTAAGCTGCCTCCTTTTGGAGGAATGTCTGACTTTCTGTACAACACATGGTGCCATTGGGGGAAAAGAGAAAAACTGAAAAGTCATCAAACACTATGAACAGATGGACCGCACCTGGGGCTCGAGCCACACCTGGAGGGGCCACAGGAAGGTCTGGCCAGAACATCACTGCCTGGCCGGCAGCTGCGTGAGGGAGGGCCTGGAGGTTAAGTGTAGGGGACACAGCACACGGTCCCGTTGGCACGGTAAAGGCTCTGAGAGGTCCACCGGCAGAGAAAATCCTCAACTCCACTCAGTTCCGCTCAGCTTCTCCCAGGGACTGTGAAACGCATTGCCAATGGCAACGCCTGTTAACCTCCTAAGAGGCCCCAAGAATGCGTGTTCCTGAGAAGATGCTGCGGGCGCTGCTGAGGTGGGGAAGAGAAAGGGCACTACTGTGCCACATGTCGTGATGGAACAGCATGGACACAGAGGGAGGAAAGGTGCCAGAGCCCTGCCTTCTGCATGCAAACGGCTTCATCCCTGTGGGTCCCTCCCTGATGCCCCTCCCTCATCTTTGCTCCTGTCCATCCACCCAACTGTCTGTCCGTGAGCAAGCCTGGGTGTGGCCTGATGACGGGCTGGACTAGACCTGGCCTCCTGGGGAAAGGCTACCGTGAACCGCACAGTCTCATTTACAGAGAGCCGAGTGCCCTCTTGCACTCCCGCCGCCGGCCAGCCTGGCCCAGGATGCGCTGCAGGCCAGCGTGGGGGACCAGAGCCCATGCCATGCCGGGCCCCACGGGGCCTCGGCTGCCCGGGAGCACCCAGGACGGGGAGAACCCCAGCTCCCCGCCCGTCAGTCGGGTGGAGGGACGCCCTCCAGCTGAGGCCAGATCGGGATGCCCAGCACAGCAGAGCTTTGTTTCAGCCTCCACCATCCATCGCCGCACAGACGCTCCCTGAATGGCACTGTTGTGGTATTTTAAGAAGATTCTACAAATAGCACTAACTCAGAATGGGCCTCAGAGCCAGCGCATGAATGCTGCAGGCGAGGGCGGGCCAGCCTGGGAGCTCGAGCCAGGACAAAGGGGCCTCACAGGGGAGGCAGGGCAGGATGCTGGGTGACCCGGGCCTTTTCCGGGGCTCCATGGCCTCATTTCCCCCAGACTCACCCAGCGGCACCCCCTCCTCCATTGCCCGGTCCTGGTCAGTGGCTTCTCGGGAGTTTGTTGGGAAAGAGCAATTCCCCAGCCCCTCTGAATAAAGAAAGGGGCTGCAGCATCCTTTCGGCGCCTGCTTCTCCCAGATTTCCAGGGATTTCACGCACTGATGGTGTCCTGCGGGTCATGGAGGAGGGGGGCACAGGAAGGAAGGATGTCCTCAGGTTTTCATGAGAAATCACTTTATTACGTAGCCAGAGACCCACAGTCCTAGCAGCCAAAGACCTTTAACTAGAATCTTTCCAGAAGAGTCCATTCTTGAGACTTGAAAGACAGCTGAGGGAAGAAACAGCCTGGATTTTGGGGTCATTCAGACCTGACCGGCGACATTTGGGTGGCCAGGGGCAAACTATTTATCTCTCAGCCTCGATATCTTCATCTCCAAAGCCCACAGTATCCAACGACCCTGGCGGGGAAGGTTGAGGAGTGGGAGGCAGCGCATGCGCTGTGCTTGGCACCGACAGAGCTCAGCAAACTCAGCCTCTCCTCCCTCCCAGATGAAAGACCGTGTATTTAACGCCATGCATAAAACGTTTCTAAACTTGGTGGAGAAACCTGGCAGGCATCAAGGGAACCCCTCTTGACCCTGTGAATCCACAAAAACATCGGGGTTATGGAGTTAACGCAAATGAGCAAGGCAGGACGGTCGAGGGGGCCCGGGCCTGGGGCAGAGTAGAGACTTAAGGTGACATAAGCCTGTTGTGTCCCGTCTGGTACTTGGAAATGTTGAGACAATGGAGGAAGGATCATTTATGACAGAGCTGCCTGACTGCCCAGAGCATTCTGAGCAGGGGCCATGGCCGAGGGGCTGACTGGACATCCAGCTGTGAGACATGGCCTGAAGGCTGGCTCCCCCCGTACCCATGGGCTCCCTCCCCCAACCCTCATCTTGCCTTGAATGACTCTTGAATGTCTGGCCCCTTCCCTCCATTCCTCCATTTTGGCGTAAGGAAGGTGTGATAGCCACTCTGTAAGTGGCCCAGCACAGAACCTGCCCTCAATTCATAGGGACTAAACTAGAACGCAGTTAGGCAGCCTTATTCAGGACCGGACTGGGGCCCCCAGACTCAGAGACTGTGAGCGAGGTCCCCACTGGCCTACTGACATGGTGGGTGGCCTTAGGCAAGTCATTTTCTCTTTGGGGAGTGTTTTTTTAAGACTCACCTAGAAAAGGTCAGGCTAGGTGATCTCAGAGGACCTGAGGACCTCCCAAGCTTGCGCCCTCTCAGCCTGGACATTACATCTCTAAGTCCCCATGTTTTGATCATTAGCAAGATGATAATCAGAGTGGACTCTCTCCTTGACCCTCCTTGGGAAGACTTCACAGGAAAAGACCTTGCTTGTTCCCGAAAATGGATTGGGGCGAGGTAGGTAGGGGTCTGTTCGCAGGCAGGTGGCCCTGAACATGGCTTCTGGGACCTTGCTAAGTCAGAGGTACAGGTGTTTCCCTGAGGATCCCAGAGCCTGCTGTTGTGGGGAAGGCAGTGTTTGGTGTTGGTGGGGCTCATCCTACACAAGCCCTTTTTCTCCACACCCTCGCCCCCTGGCAATAGCCTGGTGAGGCACTGCTTTCCCAGCCAGGTGACACCGAAGTCCCAAGCCAGGCACAGCCAGACGCACCGCAGGTCAAAGTGGGAGAGTCTGGATTTGAACCCAGAGCAACCTGATTCCAAGGCCATTCATGCTGTCGCCCCACCCTGTCCCCATTCTGCACCCCCTTGGAGAGCCCCCTGGAGGGATGTGGGCCTCTCTGTGTCTGACTCTCCTCAACAGTAAACCGAAGAAGAGGAAATTGCCCAGTCTCAAAGATCTCTCCTTGCTCCCAAGTTCAGGGCTCTCTGCCTCCAGAAATTTTGGATGCAGGCTGCATGGAGTTCAAAATCCTCAAAAACAGCTATGCAGGGACCAGGATCAATCAGAATCAAAGTGGGTCCTAAGCCACATCTGGTACTAGGTGGCCAGGTCCTAGAGAGTGGGGAGGCAGAGGGGCCCGGGAAGGCTGGGGGCAGTGACAAGTCACTAAGTGGTACGGAAATGTTCCAGCGGTTTACAGACCCCCTCGCTGCTCTGGTGAGCTCCCTCTGAATGTCCACTGTGGCCGCAGACCTCCTGGGCTGGAAGGTATCTGAGGGCCTGTGGGTTAGGGCCCTGCTTTGGGGAGGCGTGAGAAGGAGGGTGGGGAGCAGGTGTAAAGGGCCCCGCGCCCACTTCTGAGCCACACCTCATGCTCTGTGCTTGCAGAGACAGTCACATGGTGGTCAGGGCCACTGTGACCTCACTGCTGGTGACAGGGCCTTTCGTAAAAGACCGAACTAAACCCCTGGGATGCCCAAGCCTGCATGTCCCTGGCGTGTCGAGGTGAGTGCCAACTTGTTAACCATCCCTCCTGCTGCTGGTGCTGCTGGCTCCTGGGTGTCCGCGTGGAATCCTGTCGTTGGTGGGGACTGAAGCTATCAGCCGCGTGAGCCCTCAGTCTGGGTGAGAGGCTGTGCTCGGGGCAGCGCCCAGCTCCAGGAATGAGTCGCAACCCCCAGCCCAAGAGGAACTCCAAGGGTGGGTGGGTGGGCAGGTCCAGTGGGGGCCGGATATCAGAGAGGAACCGGCCCGGCTTCATGGCCTGGCTGAAACCACAAAAGAGAAACGGCTGGGTTGAGACTGACTTCTGACTTTTTCCAAACTGAATGTGACCCGGGAGTATCCAGTCCCTTTGTTCCGAGTTTCATCAGTAAAGGGCAAATGCTGCTTTTTGTTTTACTCTCACTTGGGGGTTCTCCACTGCCAGATGTCAAAGTGAACACCTGGCTTGGAGCTGCGTGGTATTAAAATGAAACAGAGTGCCGGTTAGGACTGCAGACTCTGGTGCCAGACAGCCTGCGTTGGCTTCCCAGTTCTGAGTGGCCTAGGGCAGGAACCTCTATGCCTCAGTTTCCTCGTCTCTAAATGAGACTGATAGCAGAATCCACCTGAGGCTAAATGAATTCCTATATACAAAGTGCTTAGGACAAGGCTTGGACCCTAGTGAGTGTCACATGTGTTATAATTGCTTTTATTTCAAGAAAACAACACTGGCCTCATCATTTTTTAGCCCTACCCTGAGCCTCAAATAACAAATAATAATCATTTCCATGATTGAGCATTTTTCTGTGTGCCAGCAGCCTCATAGACAGAGGCCAATTTAAATTTTCCCTTGACACAAGCTGGTGAGGTTGCTAGTATCCCAATTTACAGACAAATGTAGTAGCCCTCTTTGGCTCAGAGAAGTAAACTGTCCCCAAGGCTGCACAGACAGTATATGACAAGAGCCAGAATTCAGCACCACGTCTGCCCACCTCCCAGCTGCATGAGCTTACATTTCACACTACCTCCTTGAGACCAAGTCCTGAGGCACCTTAACTCACCTCCAAGCCACCGCTTAGCATCGGGGTAAAGGTCAGGTAAGAAGGGCAAGGCCTGGACCAGAGAAGATCTAAGTACCCGCCCACCTACCTTGGGGTGAATTAGCATCTCAGAAAGTCCCATCCCAGGACATTGTCGCAATTTGACCTGCCTTGCAGCTCCCTGAAAAAGTCCCATTTATAGAGCATTGTCATTATGTGACCTGACTCACTCTGTGGAAAAACCCTATCTGCAGGACATTGTCCAAAAAAAATCAGTGGTAATTCATTAACATTTCTGCTGCCTTAAACTGTGACACTAATTGGGCCAAATAAGCTCTGGACAAAGGGAAGATCTGGGGATGGAGAAATCTTCTGGGGGCTCTGAACAGCTCTGATATATTTCTGGAGATCTACAAGGCCGTGTACATGTGTAGAGCTGTGCCAGTGAACAGGAAAGACTAGAGAGGTCTCCACCTCTCACTTCCGGCTGACTTTGAGTCCCAGTACAAGTAGGAAGTGAAGATTAAGTCACAGTCATGAATTACCTAAGCATTGAAGGTGTGTCCCAACACACACACACACACACACACACACACACTCAGCAAAGGGTAGCAGACTTATTGGTTAGAGGCACTTAGTGATATCTCTGAAAAATCATTATCTGACCACTAAACAAATCAAGAAGAGACTTCAATGGCTGTGTACTACAGATTTTATAAATTTAGTCCAGGAAAGTCACTAAATAAACAGCTACACCAGTAATAACAACAAAAGCAGGGGAAGAAAGGGAATCTGATTTGCAGAGGTGCCACACTGTATTATGTACAATGTCCACCTTTCAAGAAAAGACTACAAGATACACAAAGAAAGAAGAAAGTATGGCCCATACACAAGGGGGGGAAAAAGCAGTCAGTAGAAACCACCCTTGGCCCAGATGTTAGACTTACAAGACAAAGATTTAAAATCAGTTATTATAAATATGTTCAAAGAAACCATGTCTAAAGAATTAAAGGCAGATATGACTGATATCTCACCAGATAAAGAATATCAATGAAGGGATAGAAATTATAAAAAGAACCAAACAGAAATTCTGGAGTTTAATAGTACAGTAACTACAATGAAAAATTCACTATAGCGAATTAAGAGCAGATTTGAGCTGGCAGAAGAAAGAATCAGTAAACCTGAAGATAGGTCAACTGAGATTATCCAATATGAAGAGAAAATAGAAAGAAAGAAAAAAAAGAATGAAGAAAAATGAACAGAGTCTTAGAAACCAGTGAGACATCATGAAGTGTACCAACATACGTATAATGGGAGTCCTAGAAGGAACGGAAAAAAGCAGGTAGAAAGACTATTTGAAGAAGTAATGGTTGAAAGCTTCCCAAATCTGTTGAAAACCATTATACATCCAAGAATCTCAATGAACTCCAAATATGATAAACTAAAAGAGATTCATATCCAGACATATCACAGTCAAGCTGTCTAAAGACAGAGAATCTTGAAAGAAGCAAAATGATTCATCACATACGAAGTGTGTATAACACTCACTATATAAAACAGTTAACTTCTCATAAAAAAAAAAAAAAAAGGAAACCAGAAGGCGGTGGGATGACATTGTCCAAATGCTGAAAGAAAAAAAGACTGTCAACCAAGAATTCTATACCCAGAAAAACCATTTTCAAAAACGAAGGAGAAATTAAAACTTTGCCAGATAAAGAAAATCTGAGAAAATTCAGTTATCTGTCCTATCAGATCAGTACTATAAGAAACTCTAAAGGGAGTCCTTCAGAAGAAATGAAAGAACATTAGATGATCACTTGGGTCTACAAGAAGAAATTAAAAACACCAAAAAAGATAACTATAGTTAAATATAAAAAACAGTATAAATATATTTTTTCTAGCTCTTTTCTTCTATCTGGTTTAAGAGACAACTACATGGAGCAACAAAACTGTGTTAATGGACTTCTAATGCATTAAGATGTAATTATTATGGTAATAATGGCATAAAGTGGGGAGAGGGAACAGAGCTCTATTGGAGCAAAGTCTCTGAACACTATTGAAACTAAGGTAGTATTAATCTGCACTGCATTAAAAGGCTAATTGTAATCCCCAGAACAAACACTAAGATGGTAACTTTAAAAATACTGTAAAGAAACATAAGGAAATTAAAATGGCAAAGTGAAAAATCACATAAAAAGGTGGTGGCAGTGAAAGACTAGGACTAAAAAGACATGAGTCATACAGAAAGTAAGCAGCAAAATGGCTGGCATAAATCTACATTACCAGTAATTACACTAAATGTAAGTGTATGAAATATTCCAATAATAAAGGCAAAGGCTGACAGAATGGATTTAAAAAAACAAACTATATGCCGTCCACAGGAAACACATTTAGATTTTAAAATACAAATGAATTGAAAGTGAAATAATGGAAAAAGACATACCATGTAAACAATACCCCAAAGAGAGCTAAAGTGGACCAAATATCGAACAAAACAGACCTTAAGATAAAAATGTTACTGGACACAAACAAAAAGATTTTATAATGAAAAGAGGGTTGATCCAGCATGAATATCTAACAATTGTAAACTGCCCTTACATAGAGTTCCATAGCTCACGAAGTAAAATTAGAATTGAAGTGAGATTCAACAATTATAGTTGGAGATGTCAGTACTCTGCTTTCAATAATTGAACAGCTAGGCAGGAAATCAATGAGGAAACAGAACACTTGAACAACACAATGAACCAAGGAGGTCTAACTTACAGGACATCTCACCCAGCGAGAGTGGAATACACACTCTTCACAAGTGCACATGGAATGTTCTCTAGTATAGACCATAAGCTGGATCCTAAAGCAAATCTTAAATATTTAAAAGGATTGAATAAAACCAAATATGAAAGTGTATTCACTGACTATAGAGGAATGAAATCAGAAATCAACAGGAAAAGGAAATTTGGAGAATTCATAAATATGTGGAAATTTAACAATCCACTCTTACATAACTGAAGAAGAGATCACCACAGTTTTAAGAACATTTTGAGATGAATGGAAATGAAAACACAACATGTCAAAACTTATGGGATGCAGCGTGCTTAGAAGGAAATCTATAGCTGTAAATGTCCACATTATAAAAGAAGAAAGATGTCAAAGCAATAACCTAATCTTATACCTTAAGAAACTAGAGAAAGAACAAGCCAAGCCCAAATCAAACAGATGGAAGAAAATAATGAAGATTGGAGGGGAGAAAAGTTAAATAAAGACTAGAAAAACAATAGAGAAAACCAATAAAAACAAAAGCTTTGGTTCTTTCAAAAGATTACCACATTTGACAAAATTTAGCTAGACTGACCAAGAAAAAAGAGAAGACTTAAATTACCAAAATCAGGAATGAAAGAGGGGACATCACTGCCAACCTTGCAAAGATCAAAAGGATTACAAGGGAATAATATGAACAACATTATGCCGAAATTAGATGACTTAGATGTGGAAGAAAAATTCCTAGGAAGGCATACAGTACCAAAACTGACTCAAGAAGAAACAGAAAACTCTAAGTAAACATTTAACAAGAGATCAAGATAATAACTTAAGCATTTCTAACAATGCTTCACTAATAAATTCTACCAATCATTTAAAGAATTAGTATCAGACAGGTGAATTTTACAAACATTTAAAATATAATATCAATTATTCACAAATTCTTCCAAAAAGTAGAAGAGAAGGGAATGGTTCCCAGTGGTTCCCAGCCAGTATTCCTCTGCTAACAAAAACAAAGACATTGCAAAGAAACTACAGGCCAACATCCCTTATGAATACAGACAAAATATTAGTAAGTCCTCAACAAAATACTAGTAAAATGCAATCCAAATGCTTATCATTTGATGAATGGACAAACAAAATGTGACATATTCATACCATGGACTATACACAGCCATAAAAAGGAACGAAGTAGTGGTAACACGCTACAACGTGGATGAACCTTGAGAACATTATGCTAAGTTGCTAAAAGACCATATATTGTACAAAGTATGCAGTTTCGGGCTGCAGGTCAAGGCGGGTAGGGTTGTCTCAGGAATAGGAAGTGACTACTAAGGGCATCAAGTTTCTCTTTGGGGTAATAAACACGTCCTAAGATGAGATTATGGTGATGGTTGCATAACTCTAAATATATTAAAAACTATGCTGCTGCAAAATCTACATGGATGGAGTCTATGATATGTGAAATACATCTCAAAAAAAAAAAACCG